GAATGTTTTTGTTCATCATCTTTTTATTTCAACATAATAAATTCAATGCGGTATATGACATAGGTAATAAAGACTATTTAAACAATGTACCATATGAACAAGAAGATGAACTTCTTATTGAAACTGAGGAATTAAATTGTACTCTCAAACCATGTTCACACAAACAAATAACAGAAATAAAATTTCTCTTCAAATCCAGAACAAACAAACAGTCTTCCAAAATTGAAGTCCTTAAATTATCAAAAGATAAAATAACTTGTCCTACTGCTAGTGCAGACACAAGCTCCCCATCTGCAAGCTTAAAATTTCCTTGTCCAGTGCTAACATGCCCTCTATGCTTGAACCACTAGTTCTTTTCATCACCTCTAGGGAATCTTTCTTCCAGTATTCCTTCAGTTTGCATTTGAAGCACTTGCCTTTCGGCTTCTTCATAGCAACTAGTATGACAACTTATAACCAATATTTGTTCATAGCACTTCCCTTCAGTTCTTAATACCACCCTTAGGTTTCTCCTTGGTAACAGAACTCTTAGCAAAACATGCACTGACTACATTCTGTCTAGCATAGTTGCTAGACGCAACATACATATCATTAAGAGTCTGAAGCATCTCTACTCCAATCTTAAGCATGTTCACTTGCTTCTGCAAGTGTTTGGAAAGACTAATAAAAATAAGCAGTGAACTACAATATCTGTCCTTTCCCAATTTGAGTATTGCATCTTAATTTTCTCATGCGTATCCTTTATAGGTTGTCGTGGCTTTAGTATGCTTAGGAAAAAATTCAGCTTTTCTTGTTTAAGAACAACATCGAGGTTTGTTTTCCACTCTTTATAAGTGGTACTATCTAGAGGTTTTTGACTCAAAATCATTTCTAAAGTATCGAAGGAAGTCATTTTCTGAAAAACTTATAAGGCACACAATTACAAACGAATAATGCAATAAACAAACTAAGTACAAGTGAATTCTCGCAAACTATTTTTTTTATTGTTAACAATCCTTCAGTTTTCTTTGCAAGGCTTACATCGGAAAAGTCACTTGTAAAAACTAAAATTATTATTTGGGCCTTCGGTGCCATTACCAAAGCCTCCTAGAGAGGGTTAATAACTTTACCAAAGTTGAATGTAATTAATCATTGTTTAATTTCTAAATTATCTTTAGTATCCAAGTACTGCCGACATTGGGCCATACAATATCTTACTAAAATTTTGAAATTATTAAGGTCCAATAAAATAAAATATGGTTATGCTTATTTGTGGGGGCTTCACATGACCATTGTATTAATTGACCTACACATGGAGCCCATAGATTTTACAATTAAATACTTAATTTAAAATCTTCACTCATTCAATATTTTTATTGAGAATTTTTATAATCTTTGTTTAATGTAAAATTCATTGTTTAATTTCAAAAAAATTTTTAATAACTTATTATTGTCAACGTTGTGTTGTGCAATACTTTATTAAAAAAATTTAAATTGGTGAAGCCCAATAAAATCAATCGTACTTATCCGGTGGGGCTTCACATGATTATTTTATTGACAGGCCCGCGATGCGCCTTGAGATTATATTAATTTCTTAATTTAAATCTCCTCCGATAATTATTTAGGTCAAATCTAATAAAATCCAACCATATTTATCCGGTGGTGCTTCACATGATTATTTGTTAATGGTCCTACAATGTGCCTAGAGGTTAAATTAATTTCTTAATTTAAATCACATCTCGTTCGACATAAGCAATTTTCCAATTTCCTAGAAATGTGAACTTGATAGTAACTTTTGTTTGATTTTAAAAACTATGTAAGCAAGCGCGTGGATGAACGTGCATCGTTGAGTTTATCAGAATTTTGAAATCATTGAGGCCTTAAAATCTGATCATGATAAGTAGTGTGTGCTTCACAGAATCATGATACATGATTGCAGGATGCAACCTGTGTTTAACACATCACCATTCTAGAAGACCCACAATTTACTTGCAAAATCAACAGTTCTCTTAGGATTAAATTATCCTAAATAATTGACTTAATTATTAATCTAGATTTTAGAAATCATAATAATTATCATTTATAAGAATAATTTGGAATCAAAATAATTGCCATAACAATCATTAATCATTTAATTCGTTATGCACATATTTCAAAAATTAGAATTAACATCATAATAACCATTAATCTAGCCTATAAAAAATGTAACAATCATTATATTTAAATTTCAAAATATTAATTGCCATAATGACTATTAATCTAGTCATTCAAACATATCAGTCATTATGCTCGTGTAATTAACAAGTTATGTAACAATATGACACCACCTATTTTATAGGGCATGTTATCACATCAAGCATAATATCAAAACATATAATTCATCCATTCATAAAATATAAAACAATTATAATTAGACTTTATTCCATGGTTTCTCAGATAAAAAAATAAAATTACAAAATAAACCAAAAAAATCTTTTCCAGCCCATCCGCTCCTTGCTTTTGCTGTTTCAAGCCCCTTTATGGTAACTATGGGCCTAAAATACCAATCTTTGGCAACAAAACCTAAGACAACTTTTATGAACCTTAGCTGTTATGTTCACTGCACAGTCACCCAAACTCATCTTAGCACGAAACTCTAAGGATAAGACTGCCCTGAAGAAACGAAACCACGGCCACGGAACCACCTAGATCTAACCATCCACACGCCTACACATGCCATTTCTTTCCAGGAGAGTGACGCCCACGTGTAGCCACTTCTGGTGGCATGTGGTGGCGCGTCCAGCGTCATATCTACTAGAACTGGTCATCTACTTGCATGGTTTTCTGTCTTCTTTCACCCAATGTGGTTGGTTTCTCAGATCGACCATTAGAAGGTCGCGAACTTGTCTAAACAGATCTGGATCTCCTTGTTTTCAACTTCTCTTGGATCTTTTTTTCATTATAATTTTGTAATACAACAAAAAAATTTCAAAAATAAAAATCAAGGAGGAAACCTAATCATATGGGATTAGCCTCCTTGTTACAACCCAAGAAAATACAATGAAATCTCTACCATAAATTAAAGTCAAAACCAACTAAAGCATCAATTTTTAATGAAAAGAATTATAAGGATACATATGCAAAATACATACCAATAAATATAGAATTCTAGGTGCTATATTTCATGAAGCAAAACTAATTACATGATTAATGTAAATTCAAAACTAGATCCACAGGCAAACACGCAATCCGGCTCTGATATCAATTGTAGGCACAATTGGATCTGCAGAAGTGTTTAGACCATTGCAGTGGGACGCGACGAATCATCATCGTTCTAATTTACCTCTTGTCGCGCAGATTTGTGCAATATCTCCCCGTGTTTGATTCCTTTTCACGAACTGTTTTCCTCTACACGAATAATCTCCTTGAGGCTAGCTAGTGATAGATCTTCCATACTATGTCTAAAAGGGGATAAGGCTGGTGTGTGGGGATTCTCTCACTATCAAGAAGATGACCTTACATCAGCTTCTCCAACCACAAAGTGAAGACCTAGAAGGCTGATGTCTATAAATGTAGAATATATATGAGTTCCAAGAAACCCTAGCACTAAGCTGAATAAGCTCTTCTTACACACCAGGCCCAATTGAACTTTAGTGAAAGAGCAAAACTACATATTTATCTCAAAACTACTACTCCCAAGGGAAGTTGGTGTACTTATAAGGGGATTAACCCCAAGCTCTAGAAGTTTACCTATTGTAGAACTTCCGTTTTTGCTTTTCTTTACTATAGATTGCACAACACCACTTCTCAACACCAAGACAACCTATGGCAAAGGTAGGAAATGTGTTCAATAACTCAAACAACACACAAATATCATGTCAATGGCTAGAAACTACTCTCGAAACTCAACATTATATCTCAAAACTCAAAATTATATCTCAAAACTCAACTTACCTCTTAGGAAAATTTCCAAGAAACCCAATCTTGGTCCAATGAAGCTTCCAATCGATTTTCTTCAATCACTACACCACTTGGAACAATCTACAACATTAACATTACAACAACAACCATCAAAACACATCTAAAATCATCATTTTTGAATTTCACATATATACCCCAAAACCTAAAATCATCATTTCTTCATGAAAACAAAAAAGGAATGAGCTTTACTTACCACCAATCAGCCAAGAATGGAGAAAGAAGAACTTTTCAAGCTCCCAAGAACTCAAGCTTTCCTAAAAAATCACAAATCTCAATGAATCCCGAAACTTTGGGGTAAAGGACCTCTCTCCACACTGATTCCCACTCGAAAATTGGGTAGGGATTTGTTCCTTGCAAGATTCTAAGCAATTTGGCTTTGGAATCACTCAATTTCATGGTCTCTAACTCATGTTAGGGTTTTTGGAAATTTTCTCCCTACTCATCAATAATAGTGGCCACAAAATTTGGGAAGAAGGAGAGTGATGGAGTTGTGGCTATTGTGTCTTATAAGCTCACTTAAGTGACTTAGGTCTTAGTTAGCTTGGTCACCAACTAACCACTTAAACTAACCATGACTTCATATTTACTCTTATGTGTGTGTCTAACTCATAAACCATGAATTTACTCATCTATCATGGATTTTAATATTAACTAAACTCATGAGATAGTTTCTCACTAACTCATTCTCAGATTCCGGTAAATTCTGAAATAGTGTATTTTTATCGTAAATTCTCTATAATTGCACTTTTGTTTAAAAAATGACTTACATCACATTAATTTGAATTCTTTTCTAATTATTCTCATATACTCATACAAAATACCTAGTTACTCATTATATAAGTATGAGTTATTATACAAAGGCGAATTGAGTCATTTTATGGCGAGTTGAAGGCCGATTAATTGCTTTGCCACCCATATTATTAACTCTTGATAAAAAATGAAAGATTTGTTAACATTCAAAAACCTTTAGATAAAAGATAATTTAATCATGTGAAATCATTATTTTCTATCAAATATACAGTATAATTGAGATTCTTTTGGAAACATAACCGATAATGCAGGAAGATGTTGAGATCATGAAGAACATAAACGTGGATGCTTATAGATTCTCTATCTCTTGGTCCAGAATATTGCCAAGTAAGAAACAGGAAACCAAGAACTTTTGCACACTAGCATTTCTTAATCATTCCAATGATTAAAAAAAATCTAGGCTAAATGAATGAGTATTTATTTAAACGTGAGATCCTTTGGCTTATTTCAGAGGGAAAACTTGGCGGAGGTGTGAACAACGAAGGAATCAACTATTACAACAACCTCATCAATGAACTCCTAGCCAAAGGTCATCATATAGTTAAATAATATTTCTTTTTCCATTAATTGTTGTTCACTAATTTTGGTCTAAAACGTAAAGTAGTTACTATAATTAGTTGTCATGTGTTAATGCAGATATTCAACCCTTTGTGACAATTTTTCATTGGGACCTTCCTCAGGCATTAGAAGATGAATATGGTGGCTTTCTAAGCCATAAAATAGTGTAATTCACATCTCTTATAGCTAATAATCGAAATATATTTAGTAGGTGAACATCTTTTGAATTATAACTATTTTTTGTTTTTTTCTTTTCTATAAATATATCTAGGAATGATTTTAGGGACTATGCAGAGCTATGCTTTAAGGAATTTGGAGACAGGATAAAGCATTGGATTACATTGAATGAGCCATGGACCTTCAGCCAACATGGCTATGCTGAAGGGAAGAAAGCACCTGGACGATGTTCACCATGGCAAAACCTAAATTGCATTGGTGGTGATTCTGCCACTGAACCCTATCTAGTGGCTCACAATCAGTTACTTGCTCATGCAGCTGCTGTCAATGTCTACAAGACTAAGTATCAGGTTTTGCTATTTGAATTTTGAAAATTCAATTCACAAAGCGGATGGATTTCCTGAATTAATTAAAAGTTAATTTGAGACCTAGGCTGTGTTGGAACTTGGAAGCATATGGATAGAAACTTAAAAAAAAAAAAAAAAAAACTATTGACTCATTTAATGTGAAAAAGAAAATATTTTTCCTCAAAAGCTAAATATTATGCCAAAATAATAAGATGAAACACGCATGGAGGTGTGCACGTTTCATTTGTAACTGCGTGATTTGTGCAAAAGCCAACTCTTACAAATATAGGTTGTATCTTAATTTTTAAGAAAGTAAACAGAGTCCATAAACTCATTTCCTTTATGTATGCAGCCATCTCAAAAGGGTTGGATAGGGATATCACTACTGTGCCACTGGATGGTGCCATTCTATGATACAGAATCGGATCATCGTGCTGCACAAAGAGCCCTTGATTTCATGTTTGGATGGTAACTGTTTTAAGAACCTAAAATCACATGTGGAACTCAACTAAACTACATATGCTTTACCCTGGTCATTGACCATTGGTAAGAGAAGACTTATTTTGTCAAGAGAGCTTATTTGAAGAATGTATTTTTCAGGTTTATGGAGCCATTGACAATAGGAGATTACCCAAGTTCAATGCGGTCTCTGGTGGGGAGCAGACTACCAAAGTTCTCTACATATCAAGGCAGGCTTGTAAAAGGGTCCTTTGATTTTATTGGATTAAATCACTACACTTCCTATTATGCTACCAATGCACCTGAATTAAGTCAAACCAGGCCTAGCTACCTTACGGATTCTCTTGTTATTCTCACACGTAAGTGCATTTTATGAGATCTTATTAATATTAGAATAAACTTTAATAAATAAAAAGATTATATATCACACCTAGACTGTTATTATTAATTTTTGTTAGTATTAGAGCATGATGTATTTTATGGTGACAGAGGAGCGTAACGGGATACCTATTGGTCCAAAGGTATGTATCTGAATACTTTATTTGCAATTGCAACTACATATCAATTGTTCATTTCAGATAGTTTTTGGGCTTCATGATGAAAATGAAGCTTATATACTTGCAGGCTGCTTCAAAATGGTTGTATGTTTATCCAAAAGGAATTCGGGAAATGCTGCTCTATACAAAAACAAAGTACAACAACCCTTTGATTTACATCACTGAAAATGGTAATAAATTAATTGTATATACTTTCAATCTAATTATTAAATATTCATCTATATATGTATAAACTATTATTTGTTGGGGAAGGATAATTTAACAACCAATTAGTGTTACTACTAATGTTACTACCAATCAATTTCACCGTTAGATCGATTACGTTGATCCAACGGTTATATTTATTTCTATCTTTGTATGGTTATAATTCTCCATATTTAATATTTTATATTTATTTTTACCTTTGTATGATTAGGATTTTCCATATTTAATGCTTTCACGTTAAATATGGAAAATCATAACCATACAAAGATGGAAATAAATATAACTGTTGGATCAATATAATCGATCTAACGATGAAATTGATTGATAGTAACATTGGTAGTAACACTAATTGATTGTTACTTGTTACAATATCCTACCCCTTATTTGTTAGTGCAAAATTAATTTTGATTTGTACTAACGGAGAGAGAGAGAGAGAGAGATTATGCCCTTATACGTATATTTTCATGGGAAACAATTTATTAATTTATATATAGGAATGGATGAGTTCAATGATTCAACACTCTCGCTTGAGGAAGCCCTTGCAGATACACACAGGATTGATTACTATTATGATCATCTCTATTATCTTCAAATTGCAATCAAGTAAGTGATTTCATATCGAAATAGCAAATAAAATTCTGTAGTTTATCTATTGAATCTCTAATTTTGCTGGTTTTGAATTCATCAGGGATGGCGTGAATTTGAAAGGATATTTTGCATGGTCATTGATTGATAACTTCGAATGGAGTTCAGGCTACACTGTGAGATTTGGAATTATCTTTGTAGATTACAAAAATGGCCTCACAAGACATCCAAAACTATCAGCCATCTGGTTTAGGAATTTCCTACAACACAAAATAACTACATATGGTGATTTGCGCTAAGAATGTGAACTCCATTAACCATGTGTGACCTACTTAAATATAATTATCATGAGCAATATGGTTCAATGATCATACTTCTAGTCTTCAAGTGTGATGAATTGTGTCAAGAACCAGATTCCCTAAGTATATAAGTGGGGTTTGTAATACTGAACGGTGTATTTGTTGAGATATATAGTCTCACATTAGTTGTATGTGCAACTAATGTGGAGTTTATAAGGTCTTGGGCACTCCCACTCTTTGAGCTAGCTTTTAGGGTGGTGTATCCCAAGGTTCTTGTCATTGGTATCAGAGCCGGGTTGGGCTCGAGCTAGCCTGATGATTGGCTAGGAGGCCGGTCGAGTACTTTGCACTTGGGGTACTTTACTCGGTTGAGGAGGAGCATATCAATGGTGGATTTCACACTTGAGGGGGAGATTGTTGGGATATTCAAGTGTGATGAGTCCCGGTCCCGCATTGGTTGGTAATGAGCTAAGTGAAGAGTATATAAGTGGAAGGACCCATGAACCCAATGGCTTAAGGTTTTGGGTTGAGACATGGTGTCGGATCCACTTGCTACGGTTGGTGTAGCTTAGCCCATTGGTGGTGGTCCCCCTCCACGGGCTTCCCCCTGGACCCGCCTGTCGATCCCAAGGTTCTTTACATGGTATCAGAGCAATGTAAACACCATTCCATGAACAACCCTTCCTCTACCCAAATCCTTGCAATGTAAACACCATCATCGTTTGGTTCAAGTTCAATTACCTTAGTTCCTGCTATTTGAGGCATGCTCAAATTCCCAAGGACTGAGCAAGAATTGAGCAATGATCTCCCTATAGCAGCATCAGGGCTAATGGGCATCAGCTCAATCACTAATTCTTTTGCTTCTTCCAGCAACCTTCTCGGCCAAGAAGGTCCACTATGCATCCATAATGCTCGATCTTTGGCTTCAAATAATGGCACTGAATCATTCTAGTGAACAAGACTTTTCCTTCCTCAACTAGTCCAGCATGGCTGCAAGCAGTTAAAACTGATAACAGGGTTACCTCATTTGGGGTAAACCCCTGATTCTAACATGCGAGAATAAACCTCCAAAGCATGGTGTCCTTCCCCATGATAAGCATACCCGGATATCATAGTTGTCTATGAAAACAGATCTTTCTTCAAGATCTCATCAAATATCCTTACAGCCAAGTCAAGCCTCCCACTTTTCGAGTACATATCCATCATTGCATTGCTCACTGTGACATCCAGCTCCAGGCTAGTTTTCTTAACACCACCATGAACGCACTGACCAAAATCAAGAGCCCCAACATCAGCACATCTTTGGAGAGCACCACTACGTTTGAATCTTCACAAGGAGGAGCTTCCCCATCAGCTTCCATCTGATTAAACAGCTCCAAAGCTTGAATTGGTTCTCCGGCTTTAACACACCCAACAATCATAGCTGTCCAAGAAATCACATTTCTTTCAAGCATTGTATCAAACAGTCAACGAGCAATACCGTGATTGTTAGTATGTACCCATTGACCAAACTAGTCCAAGAAAACACATCCTTGAACCCCATCTTCTCAAAAACCAATGTAACCACTCCAATCATCCCATTTCTGCAATACATATCAATCAGAGAATTACCCACAACAGGGTTTTCATCCAAATGGTTCCTCAACACCATTCCATGAACAACCCTTCCTCTACCCAAATCCTTGCAATGCCCACAAGAGGATAAAGATGCAACAACAATGAAGCTATCGGGTCTTTGACCCATACGCACAAAACGAGAAAACGCCAAAAGGGACTTGGTAGGAAGTCCAGAATGGAAGCAGAGGTTCAGAAGGCAAGTCCAAGAGACAATGTCTGGTTCTTGAATCTGATTAAAGACCGTTTGTGCTTGTTCTGTTTTCCCAACATTCTTGTAACTTCGAAGGAACTTGCATGACAAAGGTTGTTGGAGATTGTGTTTGTGTAGTAATCCTAGTGTCACACGTAGTGCATGGATTCGTTTGAGCTGGTCAAGGCTTGCATAATTATGCAGTGTTTTTTTTTTTTTAAAACAATCAGTTCATATGAACTTTGAAGGCCCCATATCTTCTGGAGTCGTGCCATCAGGAAGCGTGTTCCAATCTTATTTCCCAAGAGCTTTATTACTTGCGCTTGATTCCACTGTTTGCATTCCTCTTTGTGCTGGCTCAGAAAGAATTGATACGTAGGGGAAAACGGATCATCTTCCTCATCCTTTCCAACATCTCTTCTTCTTCTTTTCTTAATACTCCTATCCTTGAGCTAAACAACTTCAACCCAAAATTACTGAAGCCATATTAATGAATTACTGGCCAATTTTTACCTTGCGTTTACTTAATTCACCATAAAGTTGGGTCACGAAGATTGAACTTGTGATGACCGGCTACGATTGGTCTGGTATCATATATTTTAAGGGTTATAATCATAAGTGGACCCCATTATTTATTAAAAAAAAAAATGAAAATTGATAAGTGTGTAAGAAGTGATATTATCTCGTACAACATGAAAATAATATAATCCATATTTTAATTCAAATACTAAGGCATTAATTGATGTTATATTAATAATTTTATTTTATATTTCCTGACACACCTTATCACTTAAGACTCGTTTGAGTTCTTGGATTTTGCATAAACCATTTTTGGTTTACGTTACGCGGAAAGGTAATAAGAATCGAAATAGTGATTACTTAATCATTCCACTCTGATATTATATAAAATGTAAATTCAATTCAAAATTTAAAATATTAGATGAGATTATATATAATGGGAGTGGATTTTTTTATATGAAAAAGTGAACATCATATTATTTGATCACAATCATTCTTTAATAATGAGATAAGAGAGAAAAAATATTTTTTAAATGAGTAATTATGATTAAATAAAATAATATGATCACATGATATATTTTCACGTAAAGAGAATAGACTCCCACAGTGAACTTTTTTAATTCCGCCGGCAAACCCCTTCTCTCCAGGTGGAGACAAGCTAGAGCAGAAGAATAAGCAGAGAAACCTATTTCTAGAAACCTTCTTCACGGAATTCTAGATTAAAAATTGCTTCGAATCACAGTTAGATGTGTTCGGGGTCGAGATTCAATCGGTTTTAGAAATAAAAATCATCTGATCTAATTTTTTCAATTTGATCATTTAATCATCTATTCGGTTTGGATTTTTTTTCAAATCTGATATGATCCAATTCAATTTTTTCGATTTGGATTGTTTCGGTTTTAGGTTTTTTTAAAATCCTAAAATTTGTTTAATGATTATTATGCAAATAACATCGTTTGTATATATTGACTTTGTAAATATTTTTTTTTGAAATACAAAAGCATCAGTAAACGATAATATAGTTTTTTTTTGTTTGAGCAATGAAATATGAAGCTCTAAACAGATGAAATTTTGTTGATAAGATGTGACTAAATTTTTTCTTGAGTTTAGTTGATGGGTTAATGAGTCTTGAATTTAGAAATTTTTGGGCTGTGATTAAGGGAAAGGCTCAAGTAGGTAGAGATGAATTAATATATTGGATTGGTTTAGATTGGATCGATTTTCATCAACAAATCAGAAAACCGATCCAATCTAATTAAAATTTACGATTTTTTCTTGCTTTTGGTTTTTCGGTTTTCGGTTTATTCAATTTTTCGATTCGGTCACCGCGGTTTGAATTGGTTTGAATCAGTTGATGAACACCCCTAATCACATTTACTTTGATATAGTTTTTAGACATATTTCAACTTTTTTTCCATCAAGGAATTGAGGGTTCGTTTTGATGTGTTTTTTTAAAATATGATTTTATGATTTGTTTTTTTAGAAAATATTTTATTAAAAAAAAAATTATTTGATGTTTGGGTGAGCCATATAAAAATACTTTTAAATAAAAATATATTTGTATGTTAAAGTTAATAAACACTTTTTATATAAAATTATTGGATATATAATGATATTAGTAATAGCTGGATGGAGAGATGGAGTAGAGTTGAAGAAAAATAATTTTTTTTAAAAAATATTTAATTTTTAACTTATGCTCTTTGTAAAAGTAATAAATCCTAGCTTTTAAAAAAGTATTTTTTTAATTTTTTTTAATTTTGATTTCCTTAAAAGTTGCTATCCAAATAAATAAAATTCTTCAAAAGAACTTTTTTTAAAGAAAAGTGACTTCTCTAAAAAAAACAACTCATTCAAACGCATAGTAAGTGATTAAAAAAAATTAAAAAATAAATAATTCAAAGCAAAAAATTTCAACTTTTCCTTTATTATTTTAATATCATCATAAAATATGAAAAATTCTAAAATAACTTGTGAGACCTGGTTGGTGATTGGGCTACTTGGGTCGATAGACTTCTAGATATATAGGATTTTTCTGGATAGGAGTGTTAACGAGACAGACTAAGCTTTGATTTTAAAAGATTGAGTTTATATTTAAATGTGTCAGTCACGTTTAACATGTTATTTGTTATAAATATAATTTTCAGCATGTGATTTATTTATATATAAAACTTAAAAGCATAATTTAACCTGTTAAAAAAATAAGATAATAAAATTTTATCAAAATAGAATATACCATTAATAATACTAATAATTCTACAAAAATTCATAATTCAGTATATATCCAAATAATATAAAATAGAAAGAAATTATTCAAAAAAGTCAGTTTAACCAATAAAATGAGTTGATGAATGAGAAAGGATTATTATGAGTAGTATAAGAAATATAAAATAAAAATAAAAGTTAATATATTAGACCAACCTGAAGACTTTAAAGTTAAACTTTTGAATTGAAGTTCGAGACCTTTTTATTAAACAATTTTTTATAAAATTAAAATTTGATTCCAACGACCAATTTTAAATATGTAAACTCAAACTTTCGCAAAGTAAGGTTGAAAAATCCTAAATTACCCTTGATTCGTTTATTATCCCTTAGATGATGAGTCATCATGGCCTGGTGTTATTTCCTGACTGGGATAGTTGGAACGGTTTTTTAGGCTGGATCGCTGCAAACTCTT